TTATGAATTAATTTTTAATTATCAAAGTTAATTTTTGAACTGATTGTTGTATTATTAATAAATGTTATCATCATTAATTCATATAGGTAAGTAATAAATGATTGTTCGTGGATGAATTTAAATTCACCTTAGAGGTTGTATAAAAAAGATTATTGCTGAGGATTTTATTAATTTTACACTTTCAAATTTAAAGAATATTAGTGAAGATAGAATTAGATGTTCATGTCTGAAGTTTTTATAAAAAAGTCCTTCCGACCAAATGGTATGACGATGCATTTGTTTTTAAAGAATTCATTGAGAAATACTTATGTTGATTTACATACGGAGAACCCTATGTTAACAAAGATTGTTGGCTCCACATCTACTTCTAACAACATACATAAAATTATTGATGATAATAATAATAATTATAAGAATATGATGATGGATATAATAAGAACAACTCATGGTTATTTAGGTAAAGGTTTATGTATAGATGAAGAACTAAATGTAATAGGTTTTTTTATTTATTTTTTAAAATATGATAAACTATTATAGAATAGGTGTATAAATAACAATAAATTATTGGTCAATGCATGAGTATTTACCATAAAATCAGATTATGGTATAATGAAATCAATTATGATAGCATTATCAAATAGGCAAAAAGTATTTTAACTGAAAGGAATAAGTTAAAAGAAAACTAACTTCTATGCTGAAAAATCTATTATAAAACCTCTTTAATCTAAGATACCAAAAAAAATTATATATGCCTAAATTTTTTCATAATGTACTATGGTGAGGATGTAAATTTAACCGAGTGCAAAACCTATAGATATGATCGGTATAAACCCAATATAGGTAAGGGAAGGATACTTATAGCATATAAAAAGATGAGATTATTTCTAATTATTCATAGGTTATAAAGATTATTTATGTCTTGGAAGGCATCCAAGCACATAACATAATATCATTTTCATGATACGAGTAATGAAGTAATAGTACATCCTTTTGATGGTAAACCTTGAAAGCAGTTTAATAAAATGCATCTTCGGTTTCTAATGAAACCATGCAACATATTTCTTGGTTTATGAATAAACGAGTTTACTTCATTTGTGTTCTTTGTGGACCCTATTTTTATTGGCCAGTCATACCAATAATTCACATCTTACCCTCGAGGATGTGTATGAGATTGAAACTCATGTTCTTATCTACAATAATATCTAGTCCTTATAATCCAGGTAAAAATATAAATATTTGTTTTTAATCATTGACTGATTAGTTGAAACAGTTATGATCATTTGAGGCTTTGATATATGATGTATCAAAAAAACATAATTTTCAAATAAAAAAAGCTTTAATGTAAACTATAAATGATTTTTCTGTATATATAATGATTTTAAGATGGACTACATATGAAAAACTAGTCTATTCATATTATATGAAAAACAATAAGGCTTCTACCTTAACAAATGGTTGTAAAGTTTCTTTTTTTTTTTTCCTCTTAAGATTCTTGTTAAGTTATAATCAATACAAAAAAAAAATAGAAAGGACCTTTTAGAAGGTAAAATTGAAAGGGATGATGCACCATCAATACTACTAGGTTAAGTATTGTATGATGTATTATCATAGTATAAGAAGTGACTGAGTAAAACAAATAATTTCTTTGGAATTTTCTTATTATAAGACAAATGTCCTTCACTATACTTTAAATGTCATGCATATTAAGAAGAATGTGTTTGAAAATATTTTTGACACTACCATGAATATTAAAACAAACTAAAAGATAAATAAAAGCTAGAATAGATATAGCTTCTTCTTCTTTTTTTGTGATCATTAGAATATGAAATTGCTTAACGATGAGGTATATATTACCAAACCCAAAATAGGATATAATTAGACTCCTGATTCCATCTAAATTTTTTTCTTGCTTTTGCCAAAATACTAGTTTTTTTGCTGGTATTATTATTATTATTATTATTATTATACTTTGAAAAGAAAAAAAAGATGAATTTGAAGAATAACTTGGAAATGCGTTAAGGCATATATAATTATTATTATCCTTTTTTTTATATATAAGGAAATTTATTGGAGCCAAAGAAATACTTTCTCTAACTTCTACTTGCTTCGCTATTAATTTCATTGCCTTACAAAGCATATTAGTCCACAAAAATCATTTGAGAGCTATAGCGACACCTAGAGAATGGATCTCCTGTATTTATGCTAAAGATATCAAAGTCAAATAGTTTATGGAAAATATCTGTATCTTTGTTTTTTAACAATAAAATACAACATTTGTATGAATGACCAAAGTTTTAATTCAAATACTAAGAATGATTGATAGTGATAATAAACTTTCAATGGGTTATTTGTATAATATTATTCATTATGTTATGGAAGAAATATGGAGGAGGTATCAAAATATAAAAATTAGCGTGCAACCTTTCATTATAATCAATATATAGAAAACTATATAGAAAACTTTCTAAGAATAAATTTTGACTAAATATTCGCTTTGAATATGATGTAAGCCTAATGAAAACATATGAGAATACTATACATGGGTTTTTGGATATGATTAAGAAACATGCATATAAAAATCAAACACTGCAAAGCAAGGTTATAATTGAGATGAAATTATTTAAGATTACAGAACATGATTTTGATTAAGAATCTATGATAAATAATCACACTCTTATACATTCAAGTATATTATTATCTTTTTACATTCAAAGTATTTTAAAAACAAACCAACTATTATCATTGATATAATCCTACTTGTTAAATTTTTATATACGAATGATGGATGGTATATGAAAGTTGTGCTCTAAATCTATGAAATTGGTTATACGAATTTTAAGTTAAACTTATACTTTTTTATTTTATGAAATAAATTAAAGTATTTTTAATCATATCCACTCTAAAAAGAGAAATTGGTTGGAACATAAAATGTATAATGATTTTGTTTACTCGTATTATAATTTGAAATTGAAACAAAGCTAATTTTTTTCTAATTTCTTAGATATTATTTTATGTAGTTAAGTAGCATCAATAATATAATTAGGGATGACAATGGATACTTATAAATTGAATTTCTTGATATCTATATTTTATCAATTATTTATCTAGTGAAAAATTTAGATATTCATAAACTATTCATCTAGTTTCCAGTATCCAATAGCTATACATTATCTATTATTATTTATTAATCAATAAAATACAATATATATATATATATATATATCAAATTGTATTAAAAAATTAAATATTCTAAAAATATATTTATTTAATATAAATATATATTTCGGGTTATGTTGAATTTGAAAAATACACACTTATTCAGGTTGAGTCAGGTTAGTATTAATTGGGATTGAATTAAATTATCATCCCTAAATACATTACTTACATAATGTTTTCCTAGTGTATCTATTAACCCTTTTTAATGTTTATTTACATCAATTAAGCCTTTCTAGTGTTTATCTAACACTTATTATATATCTATGTTTGAAAATAATAGAATGTACAATACTTAAATTATATTTTACTAGTCTATCTATAAGAGTATATTATTATTTTATTCCTATATTTCTAATAAAATAATTAGCTAGTCCCATATTAAAAAAAAAAGCTGATATCAAGTCTCTGTATTTTTATATTTCATTGTAACATGGTCCTTGTGTTGATTTTCCATCACAATAAAATGGTATTTTTTTTTAAGTATCCCTTTGAAAACCAATTTCCCAATCTTAAGTACTACATCTAAATTAAAAGTGCATTTAAAAATACTAGCTTAGAAATTTTAAAAAGAAATTAACATTCAGCTTTGGTCAATGGCCTAACTTATGCTTTTCAGAAATTGAGGGACTAATTTACAAAATCATAAAAAAATAGGAGTAAATTATAAACTACTCCATGAATTAAGTATTACCGTCTTAACCTGGAAACAATAGAGGACCACCGTAAAGGCACCATGTATTAGACAGCAGTGGGAAACACCCAAATAGTCAAAGCCCAACTTTCAGAATGGAATAATATCGATAGCCTGGCCTGGGGAGCCCAACTTTCCAAGTGAAATGATAGAATAGGCAGCAGGGGCTCGTCCTTTGCACATGATCTGTTTCCATCTTTCCCTCAGATCCCTTTTTCCCTTACTGGACACCACCATCATTTCTCCTTCTACCCTCAAGGTGGTGTGGTACTGTGCTGGTTAGTTTTCCAATGCACTTCTAATTTGCAGAAATTTCTTGGCACATGACAGTGACACTACTATGGAGAAGAAGCCCTGTTACTGACGTATTCTATGCATTTGGGTGCTTGAAATGGCATCATTAATTTCTGTATCTTGTATCCCTATCCATTTCCTGCTATATGCTCCTGAGCACTGAGGTTTAGATCGGGGGAAGTATACATGTGTGCAGTATAGATTTTAGCTTTGGAGTATATATATATAGATCATGCATATGATTTGTTGCTTAAAGCTCATTTCCACCTAGATTGGAAACACCACTAACACTTGTTGGTTAACATCTTGGTTGTCAATTTAGATATGGCTGACCATCAAATCCAAATATTTTGAATTTAACGTGTTTATTACAATCACACGTGCATACTTCCCCGATCTCATCCATGAACGGATAGCCAGACACGCAACTGAAAATGATATGGAGTAGTTCACATGTATGCTATGCACTCTTCTGTTTTGATCATGATCAAAGCTTATGAAATTCCCGCCTTCCAATAAACAACTTCTAAATTCACGATTTGGCCTTTTCAGAATGTAGAAAACCCCATGAGCTCTCACATATCTCTACGTGGGACCCTAGAATTTTTATGGTTATATACGTAAAGTAAAATAAAATGCCCTCAAAACCTCTTTTGCTTTCACAGGGCGGTGGAGATATGATATTTAGGATTAATTTTGTGTTTTATTGCATATATATAGTCGATGAATCAGGATATCAAAGTTTGTTCATGATAAGAAGGAGAAAAAAACCTTGAGGTGTCCCACAACATCTACTCCCTCGTCATGGCATATATATAACGTGAAAAAAGACCTTACTTTATGCCAAAAATCTCACCAGTCAGTTAGGCCCATGAAATGAAACCCCTTTTCCCATTTTGGAGTGCCTCCTTTTCTTCTCTTATATATAAAGCCAAGTTTCCTTCTAACACTCTCCACTCTCGCGCATCACATAGCCACCAATCAAAGGCATCTAAGTTATGGCTCTCCAAGCCTTTTCGGTCCTAGTAACCATGATCATGGCTATAGCCCATCGTGCATATGGCTCCGGCCGTGGTTCTACGGGCCTAGTCAGTGGTTTCATAGATCCACCAATAGTTGGTATATGCTCTACTTCGGTGATAATTCATGGGTACAAATGCCAGGAGATTGATGTAAGAGCTCATACTTTATTTTAACTATTTATTTGGTCAAGCGTGTTAATATGTTATGCAAATAAAAGTGTGCTAATATGGGAATCCTGTGGGTGTTTTCAGGTCAAAACTCAAGATGGATTTATACTTAACATGCAGCGAATACCAGAAGGCCGTGCTGGTGGTGGTGACACCAAGAGACAGCCAGTCTTGATACAGCATGGTGTCCTTGTAGTAAGTGCTTTTATACCAGTCACGAATTTATTTCAGTATGAAAGTGTGTCCCTGAAACATAGATTGGTCTTTTTTCTAGTAATGTCAAAAGGAAAGGAAGAAGAAGAAGAAGAAGATGAAACACATAAAAAGACGAAAAAGATAAAAATATATTATAGTTGAAATGAATAGAGTTTGAATGTGAACATCACTAAAGCTAGCTTAGCTAACTTTAAAAAGCTGACAAAAAGAGTTCATCAGTAGTACCAGTCAGTGCCAGATTGTGCGGTAGCTAGCTAGATGCTAGTAAATTAAGTTCTTTTCGATCATTCCAAATGAGTGTCATGCGCTCATTTTGTGTGCGATATACTTCCGAAAATGGTGATGTCTGAGCTATCTCATGGTTCACGGGCGTTGAAATAAATCTAAATTATAAAAAGCCAACAAGGAAGGAATCATCTGCAAAGAATAAGCTTTGTTTACGCACCATAAATCACTCGGTAACTTTTTCCTCCTTTTCTTTTTCCTGTTAAATTGTGGAAAGTGGCATTTCTCATGTTCTTTCGATGTTTACCCTCACTCGAGGTTTGAAATGTGAGATGGTAGCTTCAAGTCTCAAGTACTGTTATCATGCTAGCTGCCCTAGGAGGTTTGATGGATTCATATGAAAGTCAATTTCGGTTTTTAAAAAATAAAGAAAAAACTTGATTCTTTTTATTCTAGTTAAAAACCCAAGTTAATTTGTCCTTCTGTCAAAATTAATTGATTTTTTTTCTTTTTAAAATGATAATATTTTAACTTTTTATTTATTTATTTAACTTTGATAATTGTGCTGGGTTGATTTTTGGAATGGATTTAATAATTATGTTTCAAAGGGCACATGCATTTATAACCTATCACCTTGTATCCATTTCAAAAAAGTATTCTCATGAGAGCATGGTCAATTAATTAAGCATGATTTCCGTGAAATCAGATATTAAGTCAGATTACTAATCATTTTGTTGCTGCTGTTTAGATGGCATATCCTCTAGAAATCACAATCAATAGGCTATGCCTTTTATTTTATTTTATTTTATTTATTTATTTATTTATTGGTGATGTTCCCTCTCTTTCAAGTAAGGTGCAAAGTATAATTAGCTAGCTGAGAGTAGGGTCCTCTTCCCAGACAAAATTTCATGTTCGAGCTACTTTTTTCATGGTAAAAAGAAAAAAGAAAGTAATGTGCAAAATATAAGTCAAAAGGTGGCCATAACTTCTCGAATGGTTATGTAAAAGATGACAAGTGCACGCTCGCAAGCATTAATCATAACTCCCATCTCCTCTTCGTTTTGTGTATGTTGTGAAAGATCTACAGGCGTGTCAAATAGAGTGGAGAAATGGGAAAAAAATGGAACACGAAAACGTTTCACGAGATATGCAAATTATATGCCTGTTTTTATTACAAGCTTTTTTATTTATTTATTTATTTTGAATCGGATTAAGTAAATTAATATTCATTAAGTTGTGCTATCCATGCCTGAACCTGACTACATATGAATATTTTATATCTTAACTCAAACAGATCGGATTTTAGGTTTTTATTGAGCATCCATAACTCAAATCTAACCCAAACCGGAAATATGAACTCAAATGCTATAAGTTATCATTATTTAATATATAATTAGTTTGTTATATATGTAATTTTTTAAAATTTAAAATTTATTTATTTATTTTGAATCGGATTAAGTAAATTAATATTTACACATAACTTGAAAGCTGATTATTTTACCTTCGAGCTCTGCATCAATATGATTGGATTAAAAAATTCCCTTCTTATTTGGGTCGAGGTTGGTATCCTCAAATTGAATGAAATTATTATCTCTATATATAATATATAATAGGATAGTACAATGGTATAGCCGGCCTCTTCTATTATATGATAATAAATAAATTGAAATTCAAATCCAAAGAATATATGACTAAAATTAAACTCTGTGCGTGCGTGTGTGTGTGTGTTTTACCTCTGGTTAGTACTCCAGGTAATGAGCTTCTCTTTTTCTAGTTTACTCTTTCGTTTATGGGACTGACTCGTTGATCACAAGGTGACATTTAATTTTCCAAGGCATTCAGATTTTGTGTTGTCCTTATCCTTGGTATATATTCTTACCGAAGCATGATGGAAGGTCTCACGAGCCCACAAAACCATGCATCGTTTCAGGCTCAGAATTCTACATCTCCATCTCGCCCTCCTCCTGTGAGGGCCATGAGGGCCACCTGCAGCGCATGCATGACTCCTTTTGTCTGGATCCTAACGTGGGCTAGGCATTGCCCCAGAAAACACTGAGACAGGCTCCGATATGAGCTCTAATTTTGTCTGCCTGTGGGCTAGGGACTATAACGATGCTAAACATGTCGCTTGTCTTACTTCAGCTTTATTTCTCATGTCAAACTCATAATTAGCACTTGTAAAGACAAGTCAGGATACAATATTTTATGCTATAATTCTAATTTATGTGACATTATAATGATATTTTGTGCTTGTTTTCAATTTATGGTGCAGGATGGAATGACATGGCTTCTGAACCCACCGGAACAAAATTTGCCATTGATTTTAGCTGATAAAGGATTTGATGTATGGATTGCTAATGCTAGAGGCACCCGATATAGCTGTCGACATACCTCCCTTCAACCATATGAACCGGTTCTCTCTCTTTCTTCTTAGAATAATCTCTACTATTTACATCACAAAAGTCTTGGTACAAGTTGGTAACACTACCAAAGCCTTATGACAAACGAAAAACAGTACTATAATGGTAGTACTTGTACTTTTGTGTTGTAATTGCATGATCCATCCACTATTGTTTGGTCATCTTGTTGCAGCTTAAATAGGTATACATGGAAGGCAGCTTCCCTACCTTTTGCGACCACTTCTTGATCAATATTTATGGCCTAATGTTTTGTTAACAACGCTGTTAAGAGTTTTTGTTCATTATTAATAAGTTTTTTTCTGGATCTAATCAATTATGGCAGGGTTTCTGGAATTGGTCATGGGATGAATTGGTGGTCTTTGATCTTCCAGCTGTTTTTGACTATGTGTACAGCCAAACTGGGCAGAAGGCACATTACGTGGGTCATTCCCTGGTATGCATTATGTCATGCACCACTCAATACATAGATTATCACTTATCTTTTAACAGATTGTGCAATTTTCAAACCAGAGAAAGAAATTATTAGTTCCTGCAATAGCAAGTTTTTCTTATGATAATATTTGTCTGAAAAAAACCAGTACATACACGAACAATTGTTAATTAATGTATCCCAAAACTGATTCCCGTTTCTGGTATATTGTCCCAATGATCTGAGATTAACAGTTCTTCTTGACAGGGAACCTTGACAGCTTTAGCATCCTTCTCAGAAGGTTTACTAGTTGACAAACTGAAATCAGCAGTGTTGTTGAGCCCTATTGCTTACTTGGGCCATATGAACTCTGCACTTGATGTTGCTGCTGCTAAAGCCTTTGTTGAGGTATGTAATAACTAAGGTTGCAGTAGCTATACACACACACAATTCATGGAGCACTCCTTAATTTCTAATATTTAACATGAATACGCATACCATATAGTCTGAACAAAGTTATGTCTCTGCTACCAACAGATCACTACCCTATTCGGTATGGCTGAGTTCAATCCTAAAGGGTAAGGAAAAAGACTTAGAATTCATTATCAGGAAGCAATTTTGTCCAACTTAAAAAGATCTAAAATCCTTCATTTGGTTTATTTTCTTTACAGGGAGCCGGTGGCGAACTTTCTCAGAGCTCTTTGTGGTTATCCAGGAGTTGATTGCTATGATCTATTGACCTCAATTAGTGGTATAGTTTTGTTTATCAATTATTGCCGCAGCCAAATAGATACATGCTGTCTATACTTCCCTCCGCAAAATAACTACCCTACCTGCATAATCTCATGTTGAAAGATGGCATGCATTTCCTTTTTCAATCATATTAACTATGTGCATGCTTCATTTCTGTGAATTCAAGGCAAGAACTGTTGCCTTAATGCTTCCACGGTTGATCTCTTCTTGAAGAACGAGCCTCAATCCACTTCGACCAAGAACATGGTGCACCTGGCTCAAAGTAAGTTAGCCACCCCTTCCTACCTGCTTACTAACTGTAACTAATATGGAGTTAATTATCGTTTATTTTGTTTCAAATGAAAACTGCTATAGTAACCAACGAAACCCATGTGATCAACAAAATTGTTTTGATGAAATGAACTTGCAGCTGTTCGTGATGGCGTTCTAGCAAAATACAACTATGGAAATCCTGATTTCAATATGATGCACTACGGAGAAGCCAAACCACCGATTTATAACCTCTCCAACATCCCCCATGACCTACCTCTCTTCATCAGCTACGGAGGGCAAGATGCACTATCCGATGTTCGCGACGTTGAGCTCTTACTTGACAGCCTTAAGTTCCACGATGTCGACAAACTTACAATTCAATACATCAAGGATTACGCTCATGCCGATTTCATCATGGGAGTAACTGCCAAGGACATTGTGTATAATCAAGTTGTTTCATTTTTCAACCATCAACACTAATTATTTTTCAAAGAGGTCCTTATAATCTTATATTAATTACTTGGTGATAAATCTTACCATAATCCTAAAGTAGTAATTATCTGCAGGGTGTCATGTTATAAATATATGCACACGAGCCATTAGGGCAATGAGCAATGTAAGCTGTCTGTTCAATGAAACTGATTAAACCGAAAACTTGATTTGATTATATGATACATAGTTTTTAATCATCTTTCATAATTCAACTATGTCATGGCTAATCTCCAATCGAAAAGGAGATAATCAATTAGCAAACTGCCTTGATTTAGCTGTTGAGTACTGGTAAACTGCATGTCAGAGTAGATCCTGCAAGTAATTCCCTAATTTGTCGTACTCTTTAATTATCACAGAAATCTTTAGTCACAAATTAGCTATATACTTGTGGTAATGATTACATACAACCTACCACTTACTTCCTTCTTGTGTAGGAGACTTTATTATATATAATTATTCTGTAATTACATGCATGTGAGCTTCTAGACAAGCCCCCATCACTGAATATGATGACAACAGTTATAGCTTAGTTTCAACGTAAAGCTTTTGTGACCTTTAACCAACTAGATTTTGCTTTAAGGGTAATCCAAATACTGAAACATAATACTTTGATCTTCATAGACATTAAATTTGTCCCTGTTATGTTTCACAATTACACATATGCCAATGCTAGATGTTTTTTATAGCACCAGTCGCCAGGTCTCATTTGCTTGCATCTATAGGGACAATACAGTACATTGTAGCTTTGAATTCTTGATATTCATATAGTGAAAATTACAGATTAAATCTTATCGTAACATAGGAGGGATCAGGAATTGAAAAGCAACGGTAGGGACAGTTGGGATTTCGGTAGGTCTCTCCCACTATATATGTGCGCTATGAATACATGAATGTTATACCAGAAAGCCCAAGAGATTGAAGAGAGTAACAATGGAGCACAGAGTTTGTCTGGTGATGGTTTTTGTTGCTTTGATCACCAAAGAAGCAATGGCAGCTCAACATGTTGTTGGGGGGAGCCAAGGTTGGGAAGAATCTACAGACTTCAGCTCATGGGCTTCAGGTCAAAAATTCAAGGTTGGCGATCAACTAGGTATGTCTCTTCTTCTATGAACAAACTATACATGTATAATTCCATCATTACATGGTTACTATTTTTCTTTGGATAGTTTTCAAGTACACATCAGGGCTACACAGCGTGGTTGAACTTGGCGGCGAGAGTGCCTACAAGAGTTGTGACCTTGGTACTGCGTTAAACTCAATGAATACTGGCAATGATGTTGTGAAACTGAACAAACCTGGAACACGTTACTTCGCCTGTGGTACTTTAGGCCACTGTGGCCAAGGCATGAAAGTGAAGATTACGGTAGAATCCGGGACTGCTCCGTCTACCCCAGAATCATCGTCTTCGTCTTCATCTTCATCTCCCGCAGCTTCCTCTGCATCCCCCATGCACAGTTATTTTGCTGCATTTGTTCTTCTCACAGCGTTGGTGGCCACCAGTTTGCTATACATGTTTTGAACATGCATATGTGATATGAGAGGTTCAAGTATTCAATAGTTCCTATCTCTGTCATGTGATTTTGTATGCTTATTTTTTGTGGGGGTAAATATGTACGGTGTGAAAATTGTTCCTTTTTTTTTTTCCCTGAGAGGAGTATATTTTTACTTTTAAAAATAAAGCGATTAATTTGGGATTCATCTGTGGGGTTTTCATTAAGAGTTTCGTAGGTGGAAATGCAATTTCGGCAATTATATTGGTTACTTTAAAAAAATGTTTATCGAAACTCATTAAAAACTATATATCATGATACCCATGCTGTGCCAAAGGGATTTTTTTAACTAAACTTTTTGCAAGAACAACTTATTTTATAAATAGAAAAAAAAAAAAGGTGATAATGTCCCATGCAATTTTAAAAAAATTCAAATCAAATTACGCCAGATTTGTCATTGTCCATGGTTGACCGATGGAGTCTCTAAACCAAGCTCCCTAGCTAGAGCTCCGTTTGGTCCTGCTATGCTTAAATTAAAGCAATTTTTGGTAACTTTAAAAAGTAGAATTAACTAGGGATTGCAATGGTGGTTGAATTTCTTGGTATCAGTAGTCTATTTGTTATTTTTGTGGTAAAAAATTAAGATATTTATAAAATATTCATCTATTATTCAATAAATATTCATTATTTACTATTATTTTTTAATAACATAAAATAGCTAATATATATATATATATATATATATATGAAGTATGTATATTTATAGTGAATGATAAATATTATTAGTGTGTGTGTGTGTTTTATATATAAATATTAGTTTGATAAGTATTTTGAAAAGCAAATTGAACTATAAAAATAAACACTCTCTCTTGGTTTTCCAAAATTCCTTCTCACAATTATTTGTTAATCTTTAGGCCACATTTATGTTATGATAATAATAATGTGAAAATCATACTAATTATATGTTTGATTGAAAATAAATTTTAAACTGATTTTATACATAGATCATATCAATAAACCTGAAGAATTTCATAACTCGAGAAAAAGCAAGTGAAGACTTAGTTTATATATATATATATATATACTAGATTGATTGCCCGCGCTTTGCTGCGGGCGATTTTAGGTTATGAATAAAAATACAGTTTTTTTACTGAATAAAAATAACATCCATGAAAAATAATAATTGTTAGGCAATGATAAAAAAACTGCAGGCAGGTATAATATTAAAGGTTTGATAATATAGATAAAGTTATAAATAACAATAAAATGCAAATAAGTTGATAGATTGTTGGGCACTGAAAGGACAATATTGTTTGTAAATTATATTAAAATTATAGAGGCAGCAATTATCTTATTGTTTTGAAAAATTATAATTCAAGTCATTAGTAGAGAAATTGGTAGTGCTAGGAAAAAAATAAAATAAATTATGTCAAAAAAGATAGAAAAGGATGTGTGAAAGGAGTGTGCTGCAAACATGTGTAACATAAAATAACATAGAAGAATAACTTGTAAAATAAAAGAAAAAAAGTTTGCTATAATTTGACTTGATTCTTTAGCTAATGTCCTTTTTTTTTTACATGTTAAATAGCTTCCACAAAAATATTTTTGGTTTTTATGAAATTTAAGGTTGAAAATTCGGTCCATATTTATGAATTATATAAAGTTAAATGTGTGGATGAGGCAAGAAAATAAAATTTTAGCATATTTATTTTTTTACATATTTTATTGTTACACATCTTATTTTTATCGTTACACTAATATGTGTTGACGAAATTAAATCACATGACCGCTAATAAAGATAAGAAGAAAAAAAAGCAAAGAACAACATAACAACCATTGCCAGAACATGAAAAACCTTTAAATCCAAGATCACAAAGATCCGAATCGACAATGAACATAATTCCAACAAAGACAAATTGACATAACCCAAAAGAGCGTATTACGCTAGAAAAAAATCAATAGCACAGTCAAAGCAAAGAAAAGTTGATAGAAAAGAGCAAAATGCAAGTTGCACATGTAAGAACATCGACAACATGTTTATGAGCCAAACTAAAGCTTTCAAACATAACGAACTAATGATAGAAAAGAAAAAAAATAAACACATTGTAGTGTCCCTGCACTTTGGTGCGGGTGATCTTAGGTTACGTGTATGGAGACGTAATTTTTTTGCAAGAATGAAAATAACATCTGTTGGAAAGAAGTGATTGCTAGGTAATGATGAAGAGAATTGAAGCCAAGTCTAGTATGAAAGCTTTGATAATATAGATTAAGTTATAAACAACATTAAAAGTGAAAATAAGCTAGCAGATTGTTGAGCACTTAAAGGATATTGTTGTTTGCAAATTATATCAAAATTACAGAGACAGTAGTCATGATAATATAGATTAAGTTATAAACAACATCAAAAGTGAAAATAAGCTGCTAGATTGTTGAGCACTTAAAGGAGATTGCTGTTTGCAAATTATATCAAAATTACAGAGGTAGCAGTCATGTTCTTGCTATAGAAATCCAAATCCAAGTCATTTGTAGAGAAATTGCTAGTTTTCCTGCGATGTAAAGACAATAAATCCAAGTCATTGTTATTTGTATTTTTTGGACATGTTAAATAGCTTTCACAAAAATGTTTATATTCTGTGTTATAGATGCAATTGAAGGTTGAAAATTGTCAACATTTATGCAGTAAATGAAGTTAAATATGTGGATGAAGCAAGATATAAAAATTGACCATGTTTTTTTTTTATATATTATTGTATATACAATTTATGTAATCATTATAAAACTTTTTTCAAAGCAATAAAAATCCTAAACTGAAAAAAAAAACTTTTTTTCTCGAAAAACTCCGGCATCATATTGTTGTGAATATTTCTTGAGGGAAGATGAAAGAGGGGAGCATTTGAAATCATGTGAGAAGAAACGAAACAAAAGTTTCTTGTGACATTAAAACATAATGAAGAAATTAAGTGCAGTGTATGCATGGAGAGTGTGCTTTCAAAGCCTACAGCACCTGAAAGAAAGATTGCAGCCTTGCCTGAATGTGGATTATCCATTGTGCATATCCTGCATCAAGAATTGGCGTCATGGTTCCCCAATCTCTAGGATGACTTTAATTTACAGCATTCACCAAGAAAGTAACCATATTTGTTGCAATTGTTTAAGTAACATATGTACATATATAATTGTAATGATTTCTTCTTTATATGAGTATTTATTGTGTGCACATAATAAATATGTTTTTTTTTAATATTATATTCTTGTTAATATATGTATATCCTTTACTAATTCATTTGTTTTAATGAAAATTATTAATATTGATATATAAATTAGCCAAGGAATGATTTTTTCTCTTTTAAGAATTGTATTCAATGTTATAATTAGCATGTAAAGAAGAGAAGAACTCATCAATTATAAGCTGTGAAGTGAAGAGAAATAGGTAAATGTAAAATAATAAAAGACAAATAGAATTAGAAAATAAATAACAAATAAAAGGCATGTTGGACAAATTGGACAATGATTTATAAGAATGTGAGGTTAAAAATCAAACCTTTGAGGATGATGAGGATGTTGTCCGTTGTTTTTTCAAAGGAGGAAGTGAGTGATCAAATGTCTCAGATGTAGCTATGTCTCCTAAGTTTCCTTGGACTTCAATTGCTTTGTCATGCTCATCTTCATGACTATTGTAATCAAAGGAGTTAAAGAGATGCATGGCAGAAGCATCATAGGTTAAGAACAATCAAATTTAGCACGTGTCAAGGACAAAAAAAAATGTAAAGAAAGTGTGAGGAAATGTAAACTTGCCTAAGTTGCTGTGTTGCAGCTTCAAAATCAAGTGCACGTCGTGCTTCACTGTTTATGCTTGTTTCCTTGTTTGGTGATATGTTCTGAGGTGGTGTCTCCAAGGAATTAGGAGCAATCGTAAGTTGTGTGATAGTAGTTTGTGGAGTTAATGGAGCTATAAGAACTTGTTTCATAGAGCTTAATGGAGTAGATGTCTTGGATGTAGCAGATGATTTAGTTTCTGGAGTTGGTGTTTCTAAAAGATGGATGCTCTTATTTGTGGTGTCGTCAAAGATATTAGTAATGATAACCTCACATCTGTTGGTGATGGATCTGAAAGCACCAAATCGAAGCTGAAAAATCATGCTTTTGTTCAACTTTGCTGCCATGGCAGGAGGAAGAACTGAGGGATCAATAAATTTTTTATCATAGACATAATGATGGGCTGATGATCCAAAAAAGTTCTCCGCGGTTTTCCCAAATAGAAGAAAATTAGTGACATCTTCTCCATCGGTAACAATGCATTCTAAGCGAAACCTATAATATAAAATTGATGACATGTTCATTAATAAGAAGTTTATGATAATGTATCCGAGGAATATTATTTTTTAATCTAACATCTTAGTATTGCTTTAGTTGTGAAATTAGATGAGTTACCATGGGACTGGAAGAGAGGTGATAGCATCATGATCCATGCAACGTGTAATTTTTTTCGCCCCCACTAAGTTTTTTGTTGCATTTTGGACAGCTTGGATACCACCAGCCATTGGGAAAATCAAAGTCAACAATCAAAGCTTGATAGGTGAATCTTAGATGCTGGTAATGACAAGAAAATATATGTTTTAGGAATGTGGTTAAATGAAATTTAAAAAACTAATTATATGAAGAAGGTAAAGCATGTTATCAAAGCTAATAATAAAAGGGTTTAAAAAGTAACCTTGTGCTCATAAGGATTCATACAAAGAATCTCATGTATTGTTCTTCTATTTTCTTTGATTTGTTCCTCTATCGATAAAACAATATTTGATGATGAAGGGAGTTGTTGTATTTCAACAGGTAGTTGTGCAAAGCTGCATGTACAATCAATTAAAAAAGATGGTGAAAAAATAATTAATTAGAAAAAAATTGATAATGGAAAAGCATAAGAGGGATGGTTGATATTGGAATAACTTACAAATGTTTATATGCTAAGCATTCTGGTATGTCCGGATTGAAGTACCAAAGAGAGGCGGTTGTACTGTTAAGATTTGGTTTTCCTTGTGAACAAAAGAGTTTTTTGTAATAAAATGAAAGGAGAATTAGTTGGATCAGAATGAAAATAAAAATCTTAAAAAAAATTATTTTTAGAAAAAAAATTAAATGAAAGTTAAGATTATCTTTAAATTCTGTGACACGAAATCCAGCAAACGCAATAATAACAGGAGATGGTAGGTTATGAAGAGCGAGTTCATTAAAATCTCTAGCACTATCACCCCAAAGAGTTATGCGAAGCTCCTCACCACTTTGAAAGAAAATACAAAACAAATTGGATCAATAAGCTTGATAAAAGTAAGGTAATTTGCATTTAATTTTTCAACTCACCGAATGTTCTCAAGCATGAATTCTCTCTTATTTTCGAGCGTCTGTCCATGCACCATAACTTGTTCAAGTGGTTGCAATGCTTTAAGTCTTCCAAGGACATCTTAAAAAACAGGAATGAATGCCTTTAAGTGATGTTATCAAGTTGAGTTCAATAATAGAAATCTTTTATAATAGGCTAAATGAATGAAGTAAATGCTAAACCTGTAGAAAAAAAAATAAACACATTGTAGTGTCCCTGCACTTTGGTGCGAGTGATCTTAGGTTACGTGTATGGAGACGTAATTTTTTTGCAAGAATGAAAATAACATCTATTGGAAAGAAGTGATTGCTAGGTAATGATGAAGAGAATTGAAGCCAAGTCTAGTATGAAAGCTTTGATAATATAGATTAAGTTATAAACAACATCAAAAGTGAAAATAAGCTAGCAGATTGTTGAGCACTTAAAGGATATTGTTGTTTGCAAATTATATGAAAATTACAGAGACAATAGTCATGATAATATAGATGAAGTTATAAACAACATCAAAAGTGAAAATAAGCTGCTAGATTGTTGAGCACTTAAAGGAGATTACTGTTTGCAAATTATATCAAAATTACAGAGGTAGCAGTCATGTTCTTGCTATAGAAATCCAAATCCAAGTCATTTGTAGAGAAATTGCTAGTTTTCCTGCGATGTAAAGACAATAAATCCAAGTCATTGTTATTTGTATTTTTTGGACATGTTAAATAGCTTTCACAAAAATGTTTATGTTCTGTGTTATAGATGCAATTGAAGGTTGAAAATTTTGTCAACATTTATGCAGTAAATGAAGTTAAATATGTGGATGAAGCAAGATATAAAAATTGACCATGTTTTTTTTTTATATTATTGTATATACAGTTTATGTAATCATTATAAAACTTTTTTCAAAGCAATAAAAATCCTAAACTGAAAAAAAAACTTTTTCTCTCGAAAAACTCCAACATCACATTGTTGTGAATATTTCTTCAGGGAAGATGAAAGAGGGGAGCATTTGAAATCATGTGAGAAGAAACGAAACAAAAGTTTCTTGTGACATTAAAACATAATGAAGAAATTAAGTGCAGTGTATGCATGGATAGTGTGCTTTCAAAGCCTACAGCACCTGAAAGAAAGATTGCAGCCCTGCCTGAATGTGGATTATCCATTGTGCATATCCTGTATCAAGAATTGGCGTCATGGTTCCCCAATCTCTGGGATGACTTTAATTTGCAGCATTCACCAAGAAAGTAACCATATTTGTTGCAATTGTTTAAGTAACATATGCACATATATAATTGTAATGATTTCTTCTTTATATGAGTATTTATTGTGTGCACTTAATAAATATGTTTTTTTTAATATTATATTCTTGTTAATATATGTATATCCTTTACTAATTCATTCGTTTTAATGAAAATTATTAATATTGATATATAAATTAGCCAAGGAATGATTTTTTCTCTTTTAAGAATTGTATTCAATGTTATAATTAGCATGTAAAGAAGAGAAGAACTCATCAATTATAAGCTGTGAAGTGAAGAGAAATAGGTAAATGTAAAATAATAAAAGACAAATAGAATTAGAAAATAAATAACAAATAAAAGGCATGTTGGACAAATTGGACAATGATTTATAAGAATGTGAGGTTAAAAATCAAACCTTTAAGGATGATGAGGATGTTGTCCGTTGTTTTTTCAAAGGAGGAAGTGAGTGATCAAATGTCTCAGATGTAGCTATGTCTCCTAAGTTTCCTTGGACTTCAATTGCTTTGTCATGCTCATCTTTATGACTATTGTAATCAAAGGAGTTAAAGAGATGCATGGCATAAGCATCATAGGTTAAGAACAATCAAATTTAGCACGTGTCAAGGACAAAAAAAAATGTAAAGAAAGTGTGAGGAAATGTAAACTTGCCTAAGTTGCTGTGTTGCAGCTTCAAAATCAAGTGCACGTCGTGCTTCACTGTTTATGCTTGTTTCCTTGTTTGGTGATATGTTCTGAGGTGGTGTCTCCAAGGAATTAGGAGCAATCCTAAGTTGTGTGATAGTAGTTTGTGGAGTTAATGGAGCTATAAGAACTTGTTTCATAGAGCTTAATGGAGTAGATGTCTTGGATGTAGCAGATGATTTAGTTTCTGGAGTTGGTGTTTCTAAAAAAATGGATGCTCTTATTTGTGGTGTCGTCAAAGATATTAGTAATGATAACCTCACATCTGTTGGTGATGGATCTGAAAGCACCAAATCGAAGCTGAAAAATCATGTTTTTGTTTAACTTTGCTGCCATGGCAGGAGGAAGAACTGAGGGATCAATAAATTTTTTATCATAGACATAATGATGGGCTGATGATCCAAAAAAGTTCTCCGCGGTTTTCCCAAATAGAAGAAAACTAGTGACATCTTCTCCATCAGTAGCAATGCATTCTAAGCGAAACCTATAATATAAAATTGATGACATGTTCATTAATAAGAAGTTTATGATAATGTATCCGAGGAATATTATTTTTTTTATCTAACATCTTAATATTGCTTTAGTTGTGAAATTAGATGAGTTACCATGGGACTGGAAGAGAGGTGATAGCATCATGATCCATGCACGTGTAATTTGTTTTCGCCCCCACTAAGTTTTTTGTTGCATTTTGGACAACTTGGATACCACCAGTCATTGGGAAAATCAAAGTCAACAATCGAAGCTTGACAGGTGAATCTTAGATGCTGGTAATGACAAGGAAATATATGTTTTAGGAATGTGGTTAAATGAAATTTAAAAAACTAATTATATGAAGAAGGTAAAGCATGTTATCAAAGCTAATAATAAAAGGGTTTAAAAAGTAACCTTGTGCTCATAAGGATTCATGCAAAGAATCTCATGTATTGTTCTCCTATTTTCTTTGATTTGTTCCTCTATCGATAAAACAATATTTGATGATGAAGGGAGTTGTTGTATTTCAACAGGTAGTTGTGCAAAGCTGCATGTACAATCAATTAAAAAAGATAGTGAAAAAATAATTAGTTAGAAAAAAATTGATAATGGAAAAGCATAAGAGGGATGGTTGATATTGGAATAACTTACAAATGTTTATATGCTAAGCATTCTGGTATGTCTGGATTGAAGTACCAAAGAGAGGTGACTGTATTGTTAAGATTTGGTTTTCCTTGTGAACAAAAGAGTTTTTTTGTAATAAAATGAAAGGAGAATTAGTTGGATCAGAATGAAAATAAAAATCTTAAAAAAAATTATTTTTAGAAAAAAAATTAAATGAAAGTTAAGATTACCCTTAAATTCTATGACACAAAATCCAGCAAACGCAATAATAACAGGAGATGGTAGGTTATGAAGAGCGAGTTCATTAAAATCTCTAGCACTATCACCCCAAAGAGTTATGCGAAGCTCCTCACCACTTTGAAAGAAAATACAAAATAAATTAGATCAATAAGCTTGATAAAAGTAAGGTAATTTGCATTTAATTTTTCAACTCACCGAATGTTCTCAAGCATGAATTCTCTCTTATTTTCGAGCGTCTGTCCACGCACCATAACTTGTTCAAGTGGTTGCAATGCTTTAAGTCTTCCAAGGACATCTTAAAAAACAGGAATGAATGCCTTTAAGTGATGTTATCAAGTTGAGTTCAATAATAGAAATGTTTTATAATAGGCTAAATGAATGAAGTAAATGCTAAACCTGTAAGAATTCTGGAGCTTTTTGATTTGGTCAGAATATGTGCATAGTCAATAAAATTAAAGTAGTATCTAGGAACATGAGGTGTAATAGCTTCAATGCCTGTAATTTTTGTGTTAGATTTGAGATCAATTACAGCATCATAGGCAGCAACTGTGTTTACTACTCTGTTTTCATAAGTATAGAATCCTTTGATTTCATAGTGATTTCCTTCAATAATTGTTGCTGCAAATGTTAGGAGATCCTATAGAATCCTTTGATTTCATAGTGATTTCCTTCAATAATTGTTGCTGTAAATGTTGGGAGATCCCTTGTTTTAGCTAAAGCTTGAATAGCTCCACCCTATATATATAAGAGATTAATATTGAATGAAAAAAATAATTGTTCACCATTCCAACAACCAAATGGATTAGAATTTTTAATGCAATATGTAATAAGGTTTAGAATTTTGAATGCAATATGTAATAAGGTTTTGTAAATTATTTAAAGAAGAGTTTTGATGACATTAGAAGTGAGGTATTGGTACTACTGGAACATTAAGTTAAAGGAATGATTTTAATAATGAATTTAAGAGATTTTATGTCTTAATATTTCTTAGAATGTTTAAATTGGTTGTTATGTATACAATCTATGAATTTGAAGGAAGATTTTCTAAGTTAACAAACATATATTGAGGTGAAGGTAAAACATTATTTCTAGTAGGATGCACATATATTATAATTAATTATTGTAGACCATTGTATAAATGAAAGCTGTATATAAAAGATATATAGAATAAAAGATAAATATAGTTCTTGGTTGCTTGTAAATTCTTGTGTATAACTTGGTGTAATATACCTGGTAAATCGTGGCTCTAGTATGGAGTTGTAACTGAGATTTCCATGGTGAATTGGTGTAGTTAATAGTGAATGCATCATAAAATCTCTCAAAGTTTTAGATTAAATCATGTCAAGTAATAGAATATATAAAACTTACCTGAGCTCTATGAAATTTTCTATGGATTATAGAAAGTAAATGCTATGCTTAGGGTTTGTCTGGTTTTTTAAACATGTAGAAAACAAAGTTGATTGTAAATTATAAATGGATGCTAAAAATTCATTATGTTATTTTTTTTTTACAATTTCAATATTGAAAAAGTTTTTTCCATAAGTTGAATAAGCAATTACTGGTTTAGTGGTGAACTTAATTATAGCTTCATAATAATTAATTAAAAAGGAAAGGAAACTTGGTTTTCGATAGGGAATCTTAAGTTAAGTGAAAAAAATGTTAAATTGCCAAAATAAAGAAAATATTCAGAAATGAGTGGACATGTATTATTCAAACATTTAAATATATGAAAAATAAAATTTATTAGTGGTTATATCTTCATGATAAATTATACCTGATTGTCAACAAAAACACAATTAAAACTGCTTGGCTGACCATTAAATTTTGCAATCCAAACTCGACAGGCCCTAGCTCGTAATGAAGGGTAGAAGTTGTATTTTTTAAACTGTTTTATAGGTAGAGCCATTGTCCTACAAATGATTAACAAAAAACAACATTAGGAGCAATGATAAAAATAGTAATGCTAATATTAATAAAAAGAATGAGATGTATGACAAATATTTAATTTAAAATGAATGGGGAAAAACAAAAAATGGAAACATGCCCAAATTAAAAATGATGAATAAAAAAAAACAATTTCTTTTATAAAAAGCATCACCTTAGAAAAGAAAAAAAGATAGGGAGTAAAAGATTGACAATTAAATAACACGTGGTTCCGAGAGATTAAGACACTGATAAAGAGCTAAGAACATCTTTATACACAATGTTTTTCACATAGATTGAATGATTTCCTTCAGCATCGCATGTGATAATCTTTAGTCCTTGTCTTGATGTAACCCGTGAAAGAGCAACATATAATTATCCATGAGTGAAAACTTGATCCTTGAGAAAAACCCCGACAACTTTCAATGATTGTCCTTGACTTTTATTTATTGTCATGGCATAACACGGTCTTATAGGAAATTGTCTTCGTTTAATTGTGAATGGACATTTTGCATCATTTATTGGAAAAACAATCCTTGGAATAAATACACGATTTCCAATAGAAGACCCTGTTATTATTTGAGCTTCTATGACCCTCTCAGCAAGTTGCGTAACAATAAGTCTTGTTCCGTTACATAAGCCAGCTGATAAATTAAGATTGCGTAAAAGCATTATTGGTGTGTCAATTCTCAAGGAAATTGTGTGGGATGGCACTCCATTGAACTCAAGTTGATTGATAAATTCAACGGGATACAAAATATCTGCATTATCACCATCGCTCGATGTTTTGCAAACAGTATCATTACTTAGGTAAATCCGCTTCATTCCTGGCAACATGTTTAAGATAAAATCATTGATTTCAGAAACTGTAGCATTTCTTGGAGTTACAATTGCTCTCTCTCTAAAATAGCATGGATTAATATTGATATCACGAATAGAGGGATATACAGCTGAAACAATTGCTAATATGGGGTTAGATCCAGGTTCAAGCAAAAGATCTTGCGGTATTTTAATCATGGATGCATCAGAATCATCAGGGAATAAAGCATCATGTTGAGTTCCATCACCAATTGCAAGAATCCAGTTGGCAAAAATAGCAAGCTCTTTCTTTTGATCATTTGAAAGTCCATTGGATGATAGCCTCATATTCTCTGTAAGAGTGAGAACTTTAAATTTAGACCACAAAACAGAGCTGCAAAGAGATGCATGAACAATGTCTTCCTTTGTTCCTCCGAGAATAACAGGTAAAATCTGTCTGAAATCTCCTCCTAACAAAATTGATTTCCCACCAAATGGTTTATCATTAGGCAAGTCATTACCATTTGTTAAGACATCACGAAGTGAGCGGTCCAATGCTTCAAAGCAACACCGATTATTCATTGGAGCCTCATCCCATACAATTAGAGAGGTCATTTCTAGAAGGCATGCAAGATCAGTTTTTTTTTTAATCTCGCACGATGAAGTATCAGAAACAGTAAGGGGGATCTTAAATCTTGAATGAGCTGTGCGGCCACCAGGAAGCAAAAGTGATGCGATACCCGATGATGCAACAGCAAGGACAATCAAACCATCTGATCTCAACCGATTAATTATTGTCTGCCATAAAAATGTTTTCCCAGTTCCTCCATGGCCATAAACAAAAATTAAGTCTTGTCTTTTTTCAAGGATAGATCTAACAACACAATCATAAACATTTAGTTGACATTGATTGAGTTGTGGGAAAGCTGACATATAAGATCTGCAATATCGTAGTTAAGCTCTTCTCTTAAAAGCTTATTCTTTATTTCTGACAATAAACACGCATCAGACATTGGAAGCTTGTGTTTTTCAAGAGATGTGCCAGCAACATTGAAGAGAAGCTCAAGCTGATATAGAACATAGTTTTTAAGCTCAACATCGAATAATTTAAGATTAGGCATGACAAAGCTAGACTTGAAACGGGTGATAATATCATCATACATTGAGCGTCAGAATTTACTGAACAAAACTTCTGGATCAGCAACATCACAGAAAAGAACAACACTGACAAAGAGATTCCTAATTTGAGGAGATGTTGCAGTAGCCATGGCCTCACAAAAGACGTCCTCCCATTCTTTATCATCCCCTAAAAGTCCCAAGGTCTTGCAAGCAAGTTGAAATGTTGGATGCACAACACCCGAAACATTTTTTAGATAATCAAAGCTTAACGCTCCTCTTACATGGTTAAGGAGTAGTCTTAGAAAATAGAGCTCTCCTGAAGCAGGGTGAACATATGTTAATCGACCAAGACTAAAACCTTTTGATCTTGGAATCCATTCTTTTTTACCAGGATCCCAAATATATTTATGTGGAAATTCTGAGTAGTAAAGTTGACGTGCTTCATGATCGATTCTATTACGTGCAAACCATTCTGTGAGCATTGTTTTTTTAATACCTGGTTTTTGAAGTACTGATGGTAGAGTTTCATTTCCCGAGTAAACAACATTTTGATGCAATGGCAAATGGATTTGAAGTCGCTCAATAGGAGGTGATCTTGAATGTATTGGAAATTCTAGAAGACGCCAGACCGCTTCATATGGGCATATAAAACGACAATTCATATACGTATGGATCTCATCAGCACGATCTTTTTCAACAACAACTCTACATCTGTTAGAGCCCTTGCTTATGTACTTAAAAAGATACTTAATTAACATTGACTGACAACAGATCTCAATATTTATGTGGGCATTGTATCGTAATAAGAGTTCCCTATTATATGGAACAACATATCTGTTATTGAGCTGAATGCCATTTTTGATAACAAAATTGTCTTTAAGATCACGACGTCTGTAATAAACAAAGCCATTATCATCAAAAACTGTTTGTGTCTTGAATTTTTTTGGGAATTTTTTTGAGCAAATTCCCTCGTTCATGCACTGAGATTTTAGATTTGCAAGACCACATGGACCATGCATCATGAATCTTGAAACAATTTCATAGAATTTTGGATCTGTAAATTTGTCAGGGATTTCAGCTGAAACAATGGAATCAACATCTTCAGGTGTACGACATTTAAAATTTGAGTGTAGCCAAATCAATATATGAGTGTGTGGCAAACCCCTCTTTTGAAAGTCAATTGCACAAACATCTACAAAATAAAAATAAAACTAAGCCAAACAATCCTAATAAGAATACAAAGTTGTAATGTTTAGAAGAAATGAGATAAAGATAAGGCACCTGCAATTATCTGACCAAAAGGCTTGCCTGATTTTATGAAGGCTAACATATCAATAACCTTCGATCTAAAAATACGTGTAATGATATCAGGCTTGTCTTCATGTTTGTAAATTCAACCTTTCATAAGCTCCTTTCGTATCTCCGGCCAATTAACATTACATGTGAATGTAATAAATAGGTCAGGATTTCCATAGGCTCTACATATAGCCATTGCATCTTGATAATTATTGATCATATAACGTGGCTACCAGTTAAAGAAGATGGAACAATGATTTTCCCAGCTGAGAAACCTTCAACATCCCCATTAAACACAGCTTCATGGATACCTTTATAAACTTCTGTACGTAAATCTTTTTTATTAGCTCTGATATAATCAAGACGATCTTCTTCAACATTAACAAATGCATCGACCAAGAATTATTGGTACAAACGACCTCCTTTAATGATGGTTGACACGACTAAAAGGTTGATGTCTTCTCCCAAGTGCAGGAGTGTCGAAGTAATAAATAACCCGGCAAGACCGGGGTCGAACCACAGGGAGGTTAATTGTACAAATTATAAACAACAATTATAAAACAACATTAACAACAACAATAATAATAATAATAATAATAATAATAATAATAATAATAGTATTAATAGTAGTAGTAGTAGTAGTAATAATAATAATAATAATAATAATAATAATAATAAAGAAGGAGAAGAAGAAGAGAAGATGATGATGAGAACTTGGAGATGGAATATTAATATAAGGATTAAACAATAATAATAACAAATGTCAAGGTTAGAGGTTCCACTAATGGTATATCAAACAAGTATAGTATAAACTCTTATTATTGAATTGGAAACCACACACAAAGGAGGTTCCAATCATATTATATATTGTTAACATGATTACATTAGTCATCTTATTCAATTAATGCTAATACTTGTATATCTCGTCAAGCATTCATGATTATAACTTATGTTAACAACAAATCAAGTTCCTTTCATAGCTTAGGTGTCGGTTATACCATACATTATGGGCTATGAAAGTGCCAAGCATTTTTTGTACCAAGTGTTATACAACATAAATCAAGATTAGTCATTTAACAAGCAAAGTATTAAAGAGTGAACAAGATAAGCAATATAAAACATGTTAGTATCAAACATTAAAGTCCATATTAAGTTTACATTATACTTATTCTCACACCATTAGTGTAACCTTTTTACCTTGACATAATTAACTTAGCTAGACATAATGAAAAAAAGAAAAATAGATAAACAAAATAACAACATAAAAGTTAACTAAGTAAAGGAAAGGAAATGAAAGGCATAAACTTAATATTAATGAAAACAAAGCATAAAAAATACAAAGAGAGAAAGGAAGAGCATGATCTTGATCTGGAAACCAAGATGCCTAAATGCATGGCAAGTGCCTCCTTTTATAGGCCAAAATTGGGAACTATTGATTTGATGACTAATTGATAAGTGGGTGGCCAACTTTTGACTTGGTGACAATCCTTATCTTCTCTTGTCTGCCCAAAACGTTATTGATAACGTCAAAATTAGAGCCAGTTGCAAACATGAAAGTTGTAGGCAATTGTCTCAGCTATCTTATGTAACAAATTTAGCTTATTTGGACTTCTAGAACTCCAGATATGGCTAAAATACCGAACAGTGCTCGGGCTGGAAGACAGATTCGGGCTTCTTTGTTGTTGCTACAATTTGGACTTGATAATGGCCTTTTTAGATCTTGGGCTCCATATGAAAGTTGTAGGCCTATGTCTTACCTTTCCATCCATATAAATTGGACCTAAATCTGAGATCTGTAGCTCCAGATATAACCCAATTACCGAACAGTGTTCCGGTTTGGATTGCACCGACATCTCTTCTCTAAGTTTGACCATCTCTTTATCCATGCAATTTAAGTTCTTCAAGTCATCAATCAATCCTTTCATTTATGTGATAGACCTGCATTAAAAATAGACATTTACCACAAATTATAGGTATCTTATATTATTAGATACATTATTATAAAACATATTTTAGTTAAGGAGTTATTGATACTTCAAGTGCAAAATGATGATATAAAACCATGATAAAAATGCACTTTTAAGTACTAATCACAGTAATAAATAGGTCAGGATTTCCATAGGCTCTACATATAGCCATTGCATCTTGATAATTATTGATCATATAACGTGGCTACCAGTTAAAGAAGATGGAACAATGATTTTCCCAGCTGAGAAACCTTCAACATCCCCATTAAACACAGCTTCATGGATACCTTTATAAACTTCTGTACGTAAATCTTTTTTATTAGCTCTGATATAATCAAGACGATCTTCTTCAACATTAACAAATGCATCGACCAAGAATTATTGGTACAAACGACCTCCTTTAATGATGGTATTATCGCACCCAGGCCTTTCATTGATAAGGTAAGCATAATAAGCTCGCATCGGAACTCTTGACCTTTTCCTTGTTTTTTCAAGTCCATGATCAACAAACATAATATTACAGGAGTAGCCATCTTCACCATAAGGAAACAAAAGGGGATACTGTAATGCCATGAATTTTGGATGTAATTTTGAGATCCTTTTTAAAGAACCTGAGAAGCATTCAATAATTATATCTCGTTCCGAGAAAAAATCTCCAATATCTCCAACAACTAATCCACCAATGTCATTTGATGTAGGATCATCATATTGGCGTGAATCATGGCTTCGCTTTCCAAGTAAGCGAAGTTTATAATCAACAGATTGAATATTTTGAGTTTTGTCTCTAGCTTTGCGAAATAATTTGGCAAGCTCATTCGTTTCATCAAGCATTCTTAAAAGATCCACAACAATGTTCTCATCTAAAGATGATGATTTGGAGTTTCTTGTAAATGGTAAAAGTCTATTTGCAACTTCGTGAGCAGTGTCAAACACGTAGAGCTGTGCAAACTTTGGAGATTCTCCATCTACAGGTAAGAGAGAGCCCATTAAATGATGACAATGACCACTTATCTTAAACACATATGGAGCTGGTTGATCATTAACAGAAGTATCAATCTTTGCGCCCATTGATGTGAAAGCAAACATAGAGTTATAAGCTCGTATATTATCCCGAAATTTTTTTGAGGCAGAACCATTGCTGGGATCAAGAAGAAAATCAAGAATTGGAGGAGTTGGTTGCATAGCTGGAAGGGAAACTCGACCATTAAGGCAACAAAGTGAGAAAGATGGATTCTTTTTGGATGAACGTGCAAGACGTTCTTGGAGCCAAAAAAGCGCATTACAATGGCGACATGTAAAAGTCTTATCACCAAAGTCAACATACTCGCATGTTTCCCCTAGAAATTACAAAGAAAATGAAAGATAATGAAAAAAAGAGAACATGAATGATATAAGGTATAAAAAAATGAATGAGAGTTGGGGAAATTTCAAGGTAAACTCACTTTTTCATTTTTTTTGGTATTCAGATTGGCCAACCAATAGGCTTTGATAAGCAATTGGTCCATGTGTGGTGTTAGTCTCAAAGCTAGTATTGTTATTGACATTTTCATCGAAGGGAAATCCATATGCAAGATGTGCCTGACTTGTTGATGCTATTGATGAAGAGGTGCTATTATTCGAGATTGAATAATTTCCTTGTAAGGAAGTAGAACATGATGCATCATCATCAGTAGTATGTAAAAGCGAGTGGTCATTGGTTAGATGATCAGAGTTGTACGGTGTTGCTTGTGTGAATGAAAAAATTTTATCGCCCAAATTTCCTTCACTATAAATATGGCTTGTTGAGTTGTATGGTGAAGAAACACCAGGTCCAACATCATGGAATGGTTGTAATCTTTGTCGATTGCTAGTCATAAAGTCGTTGCTTCTAAAAGTTAAAAGATAAATTTAAATGATCAAAGATAGGCAATCAAGGCAATTTTAATAACATGGTTAGAATTGAGAATATAAATGGAAAAGAAATAAAAATTCCATAAAAGAATAAGAAATCAAACAGAAAATTTAATCATGAAATAGAGGAAACATGAACACATGAAAAAAATCACATTGATTTGAAAAAAAATGAAGCATAAAATGGAAAATACAAATACAGCAACAAAGAAAGCATGAAAAATATACGCTAAGTTTGAAAATAAAGGTGCACCTGTAGCTGCAGTAAGACAGGAAAAATGTGGTGTTTTAGCTTCCTGTAACGTGGAGATAGTTGAACAATAATTGGAATAACAGACCTGCAACAAATGGTAAAAAATAAAAAGTCACGAAGCAAATTTAAATTTATGAGGTGGATAATAACAGCAACAACAAAAATACATGTGATTACAAAAATTGCAAGCAAACAATTATGAAAAATATGTTCATTCTGCTGCAAAATTCAGAGTTTTTGCAATGGAAAGAAGCAAATGTAATAATAAAGAAAGTGTGTGACATTTGTTGCAATAAACAGAGGTGGTATGAAATGAACATTTTTTTTCTCAACAAATTCTCGGTGTAAACCAATTAAGCTACAAATTATATGCAATCGAATTCAAAACATAAAACGTGTTCATTATGCTGTAAAATTTAGAGTTGTTCCAATAGAAAGAAGAAAATGAAACAAAATAAAGAAAATGAGTGGAAATTGTTGCAATAAATAGAGGTGCTACAAAATGAACAAACTTTTTTCTCACCATATCCTTGTTGTAAACCAATTTAGTCACTAATTATATGCAATGCAATTAAAGGCATTAATTCAGCCTCCAATTACATGCTCAAATTAAAATCATGGGAATCAACAACATAATCTTAACAAAGAAATTTTTTTTCATGCAAGCATTGTTGAAAATAAAATTAGTCGGTCATCATATGTAATTGAATCGAAAAGCCTTGACATGAGCAATGTATACATGTGATTACAAAAATTGCAAGCAAACAATTATGAAAAATATGTTCATTCTGCTGCAAAATTCAGAGTTGTTGCAATGGAAAGAAGCGAATGCAATAATAAAGAAAGTGTGTGACATTTGTTGCAATAAACAAAGGTGGTATGAAATGAACATTTTTTTTCTCAATAAATTCTCGGTGTAAACCAATTAAGCCACAAATTATATGCAATCAAATTCAAAACGTAAAGTGTGTTCATTATGCCGTAAAATTTAGAGTAGTTCCAATAGAAAGAAGAAAATGCAACAAAATAAAGAAAATGAGTGGAAATTCTCGCAATAAATAGAGGTGCTACAAAATGAACAAAAATTTTTCTCACCATATTCTTGTTGTAAACCAATTTAGTCACTAATTATATGCAATGCAATTAAAAGCATTAATTCAGCCACCAATTACATGTTCAAATTAAAATCATAGGAATTAACAACATAATCCTAACAAACAAATTTTTTTTAATGCAAGCATTGTTGAAAATAAAATTAGTCGGTCATCATATGTAATTGAATCGAAAAGCCTTGACATGAGTAATGTATATTGTTGTGGAGAAAATAGAATAAAAAAAATAATGGTTAAGCACAATGTTGTTAATGATTCCAACCATATTATACGAAATCAAATCTAAAGTGATAATTCAATTGCCACTTATATACAATTTAATTCAAAATCTAACAAAAACTAAATCGTAAGGTAATGGTTTATAATTTTCCAATCAAGGTAATTTTAATAATATGACAAAAATTGAAAATTTCAATGGAAAACAATTAAAAGCAAACTACTTAATGAAAGAATAAGATTAAAAAATTGACCAAAAAAGTTAATTATGCAATAAAGGAAACATGAACATATATAAAAATCCAAATTAATTCATAAAAAAGCAAGCATTTAATGGAAAAGAAAAATACAATGACAAAGTTGCAGGCAAAAAACAGGTCAAGTTTGAAAATAAAGGTATACCTAGAGCTTGAGTGAGACAGGAAGAAGGTGGTGTTTCAATTTCCTACAACCTGGAGATAGTTCAACACCAATTGAAATAACATGCCTATAACATATGGTGAAAAATAGAAAGTTAGCAAGGAAATTTGAACTTTAGAGATGGATAATAACAATAATAAAAAAATATGTATGATTATGAAAATCGATAAAAAATAATTATGAAAAATGTGTTTAATGTGCTGCAAAAATAATAGTCATTGCAATGAAAAGAAGCAAATGCACTAATAAAGAAAGTGAGCAGAATTTGTTGCAATAAACAAAGGTGATACCAAATGAGCAATTTTATTTTCCATCAAAATCTTGTTGTAAACCAATTCAACCACTAATTATATGCATCCACTTCAAAGCAACGACAATTCAACCACTAATTACATGCAACTGAAATTAATTAAAGTCATGGCAATTAACAACATAATTTCAGAAAGAAAATTTTCTTTATGTAAGTGTTGTTGAAAACAAAAGTAGCTAGCAATCATATGTAATTGAATTGAAAAATCTTGATATGAGCAATGTATATTTGTTGAGAGGATAAAACCCAATAAAACAATAATGACTAAGCATAAAGTTGTAAACCATTTTAGGCACAAATTAGATGCACTGAAATCTAAAGTGATAATTTAATTGCTAATTATATATAATTTAATTCAAAGGCCAAGGAAAAATAAAACAACATGTCACAAATTCTTTATTCAATAGTAGCACCCTAAATGACCATGCCAAACTAATAAACAATTTAATTTTATGTTTTCAAGCATAGAAGTAATAACCTTGATTCCCTGTATTATTTCATTAGCTAATCTAGCAATTAACATCCAAATGGAAAAATCTTCAACATACTGTTTTTTCTTATTCTTAAGCATATTTCATTTCGGAATGCATCTCTTTAAATAACCTCCAACATGAGTTCAATCAACTCTTTCTTAAAACACATATCACTAAGCATGAGTTCAAGCAACACCTTTTTAAAAAAAAAAAAAAAAACACATATCAGCAAGCATATATTTTCTAGCAAAGCAAAACAACACCCTAATGTCAAGCTATCATGCAAACAAAGAATAAGCATTGATTAATTTAACTTAAGCTCTTTCAACAACAACAAAGATATTTTAAAAAAATTAGTAGAAAATAGCTTGAAAGAAAGAATGAAACAACTAAAAACTAGAACGCTGTTTAATAAAAAAAGAGGCATGAAAATACCTTGTTAAACATTTCTTGAAAGTGGATAGCAAAACCAATAGCCTACACGATTAAAGATTCTGAGAAGGTCCACAAAAAATAAAGCAACCTGTAAAACAAACATTTTCAGATGCATAAATCTACTAATAAGCCAAATTAGCACCTAAAATCCAAATGGAAAAAACCACAAACAAATTGTTTTTTCTCATATCTGAAGCACCAATCAACTTCAAATGCCTCATCTTAAATAACAATTTTTTTAAAAGGGAACAAAACAACATGAAGCTTAACAACAATGAAGCAACCTAAGGCTTTGTGTGAACATAGTGAAGGAAAAAAAATGTTATTAGATAATATATGCATTATACTAATCATGTTACAAGGGAATGAGATAACACAATACAACTCACACATTACTTTGTAAACTGGGAAAAAAAAACATGGAAGCCATTCAAAGGCATATAGATAAGATGACAGGAAAAGGAAAAAAAAAAAACTACAGAAGCAAATGAAAAGAATAAAGGGAACTGTGGTTACTGAAATGAAAAAAAACAATGTCACATGATAGCCCTTACCAATTAAAAAGACCACATGGATTACAGTAAAAAACTCTCAACTATAAAAAGCATGGACCCAAAATCAAAATTAAAATTGCATGGACAAGGTAATATTTAAATAATGATGGGTTTCAGTAAAGAGTCGGTGTTTTTATATAATGATGGGTTACATTAATTTTGCAAGGACAAAGTAATATTTAAATAAAAAACATGTATTTGTTTGGCATATGTGGTTTTATAGCCTATGGAGCACAACCTTTTGTTCTTGAAAATGAATGATCATGACATGCACTTGTTTTTTTTACCTTTATTTCAATATATTTCTAATACTTTATCAACAAAGTATTTCAATATATTTCTAATACATCAATATATTTCTAATATTTAAAAAAAAACAAAATGAATTAATTTGTAAAAAAACAAACATAAAATGGAAAAGAAAAATATAGCAAAAAAGAGGTAAAGCCTGAAAATAATGGTACACATGTAACTTGAGTGACACAAGAAAAAGGTGGTGTTGCAGCTCTTCACAACCTAGAGATAGTTCAACACTAATTGGA